AGATCTGTCTTTTGTTAGCCTTTTTTTTTGAATAGTAATCGATGAAAGTAAAAAAAGTGAACTGTTTTCTTCTTTAAAATAAGAACCAAATCTAAATTCACAAACGTCGTTGACTTTTAAATATTAAAAAATCAAGCTTCACAGAAAGTCATATGCTATAAAGTAGATCAGTATATTCACAATGATCAGCATGCCCACAATGAATATACAATAGTATGTTATTATCATCCACTCTGTTCAGTACAGGTTACTCTAAAAGTACTGTTTAGTGAAAATAGCACATTTACTGTTGTTTTTGACATACACTGCAGAGGTTTAGCATTTCGCTGATAGAGCCCATCGGGCCCGAACCTCGAAATTGCTTTTGACCGTGTATACGGGTACGGGTCCAGATTAAAATGTTTTTACTTACTGGGTCAGATCACAAGAAGCGTTTTATGCATACCATTGAGTAAAAAGGAAACATATGTTGTTGATGGCCGAGTTCTCTAACAAAAGAAACAATATAAACACTTTGATGCATTCATCCCTTATGCCATCCGGAGCTACGCACTACTAGCGAGTCGCTAGAAGTCAGCGCCCATTATAAATTAATTTAAAAAAAATCTTTATCGGATAGTTGAAAGAACATGTAAGATGTACTACGTGCCTAAAATAAAAGGGGAGAAGTATGTCATATCTTCGGAGCGACCACCAGATTCGATTAGAAAATTTGATTACAAGTTTAAGAGCATTTTTTATTCCAATCGATTTTTGACTAATAAAACAGGTACCCAGGTCGAACAAGCAGGGTCGTGTTTCTCCATAGACGACATGGCAATATTTGATCGTAATAGTGAGCCATGTATTACGATCAAATACGATCGTATACGGGGACAAACGAAGCGTATACGGCCGTTTACGATCATGTATGTGGATTCCGTAAACTTCGACTTGGGCATTTGTTAAGAATGTCAGCTTATAACTTTACTTTCAAGTTAAAAGAAGCATGATTGAAATTTGCAGCCCAAAGAGTTTACGTTCAAATAGATTTTTTCATCAAAGTGCTTCCTTGGTTTAGAACTATTTTTTCTTCATTAAAAACCATTGTAACAAATACTCTTGGGCCCGATGTGCTCTAATCTTCGATGAAGAAGCGATCATCATTTGTTCATCCATACATAAATTTAACAAGGCATTTATGTTTATCAGGAGTTTGCAATTTAAAACAGTTTGGCCAATGACTAGTGTTAACTTTCACAAACCTTTTGTGTCTTTTATTCTAAGCGTACAGACGAAATTGAATGGTTGACCCGGCCATAGAGTACTTCAAATGCTATTCGAACAATATAGTAAACAAAAGATTTGAAAAATAAGGTAAAGAAGTACTTCTTTTATTAAAAACACTAGTATTCTGTTTCTCTATAATCGAGAAAATGCATCTTGTACTTATTGTCATAGACCTATTCTATTTACTCTTTCTTGCATTAAACCAATTTTGAAAAACTGCAATTCATGCATCAAATATCAGCTATTTTTTTACATTCTCCTCACGTTTTGTTAAATCTATTTTCTTTTTTCCTAGATAATATTGATTTCGTCGATATTTGGATGGTCGAAACTGGATCATTGAATGCTTTTTTCATCAAGCAACTATTTTAAGTTGCGAAATTATTCATTAAACTGAGTTGAAAATAAGTCTAACAAGCATTTTTTTCTGACAGCAGCATTTCTGCAATATAAACGTTTAGTATTCGTCTTATTTTTACATTTGTGGTCAGTGTAGACATCTCAGTTGATATGAGATCTGTAGGCTCTAAAAGTATTTTGGAGTAAAAATTAAACGAAACTTATCACTACGAAGCTGTTTAGCACGCAGATCTAGATTTTATTTTTATCAAAGTATACTTTCATGCGTAAATTAATAATTTAAAAATACGACAGAATTTTCTAAACGCAGTGCATATAAACTCTAGATGTTTTTACTAATAGCTTCTCACTGAAATCTATGTTGGTTGATTATTCCATGGTATCTTCTCCGTGAATCACCATTAGACAAAACCAATCGCCGATATATAACAAACGGTATAGGCAAAGGAAACAGCAATGATGAATCGCCTTTTTACTGAACTCAAAATTATCAAAACAATCACGCATTAATATTCAATGGTTAGTTCTTATTAAATACATTGATAGACGATAAAGACTTTAAAATAACAATAATTTCTATTTTCGCTCAATTTCTGTTTACTATTATTATTTTTGAATATACTAATAATGTTCGAATATTAAACCCTAACGAAGGAACATTCCCAAGTGATTCGCACCATTTGGTCACATATTTTGCTCATAGATAGGATTCGATGAGACTAGGAAAAACCTACAAGATTTCGTGCCATTAGGCCTTTCCTTCGAATTTATCACCGTTTTACGGAATTTTGGACCTTGGTCTAGGGATTTATAGGCAAATTGAATAAAGGAATTATGAGCTGAAATTTTATCTAACAATAGATCTCATTGGTGTTAGAAAATTGTAAAATTTTCAGTTAAAACTGATACTTTCTTTTAGAGATATTGCAGAGTGTAGAAAACGGCCACGGTTCAAAAATTATCGTAAAATTGACTTTTCTTCAATCTGCAATATCTCTAAAAGAAAGCATCAATTTTAACTGAAAATTTTACAATTTTCTAGCACCAATGAGACCTATTGTTAGACAAAATTCCAGCTCATAATTCCTTTATTCAATTTGTCTATAAATCCCTTGACCAAGGTCCAAAATTCAGTAAAACGGTCATAAATTCGAAGGAAAGCCCTAAGGGCACGAAATATTGTAGACTTTTCCTAGTCTCATCGGATCCTAACTATGAGCAAAATATGAGTCCAAATGGTGCGTCTTATTTATGAGCATAGAAAATTTTGAATAGTTAGATCATTTTATCAAAAAAAAGCACAATTTGAAGAACAATATAATACCCTATATTCGACATTCGGAATTTGATTTCTAGTGATTTATGAAGGCTTTTAACCTTCAGCCGCAGTATTTTATGTCGACGTTGTCTCTGACTAACACTATTTGTGTAGCATTGCTACTGATAAAACGATTCGTATTTTATTGTTCTTCCCAGTGAAAAATTTCTAATTTTTATTGAAACTCAAAAAAAAATTATTTCGAAACTGTTTAAAATTAATGAACAAGCTTCCCCTGAGCTAGATATAATTTCGAATCTGTGGCATGCTATACTGGTCTTAACACCACGAGAGAACTCATCAAGACGAGACAAAGTCTATAATGAATCATTTCTTTGAAGCTTTCTTTTTTAGTTACACGTAATTTCATTAAACTTGCATTCATATGAAAATATATCATGAAAATTTGCTCTTAAAGATGTCAATGTTGTTACAATCTGTCCAGGATCTTAATGAAATGAAGTTTATTCGTCTTGAATGCGCAGTTCATATAGAATCAACCTTCTTTTTAGGACAACAATTTTATTTCTGGTTGTTCGAGTATTGGCTATTGGCTTCTATGCCGTTATTCTTGTTGTTATAAATATTTTCTAATTCTTGTTGTCTTTTCAAACATATTCATTAAATCGGTTTTCTATAATCATTGTCGAATTATATTTCGCTAGATGATTTTATTTTTCTTATCTAAACGGATCAAGTGTCATCATTGATGATTCACTATTACATTGCTGGTTTTAAACATAACTGAATTGATGTAACATTGAATATTGTTGTCCTTCATTATTATTTTTGTGTAATAGGAGATAAATGTAGTTCACCTACTACTAAAACGATATAATTACGATAGAGTTTTAGTGAACGATCGTGCGCTACGTGATACATGGCTCGACTTTTACTGTAGGTTGTTCTTCTCTTTAACTTTGTTGCAATAGAAGATAGACTTGAATTAATCATAAACTTGACTTGCAAGAAAATTCTGAATTTGCTATTCCAGAATACAGTTTAATGCTAAAAATTGAGCTTTAAAAATAACTACGGTATCTATCCCTTGATCTTTTGCGCTTTGCTAAACTTTTAAAAGTTGTATTGAGGCAAGAAAGTTAGCTTATACTAAATAAGCCTTCGTTTCTTAATCGATTAGAAACCTGAGTAGGTGCTTTTAATTCCATGAGATGAGAACTATGCAAATTAGGTTTTATTGTTTCTAAAGCAAAACAGAAACCTCATCTTCTTTCAATTGTTTAGTATTCAATTATCAGACTCTTCGCATTTGTCACCACACTATAATCAAATAAATGAGCTATTTGATTAGATATATCTTGTCCTTTTAACGATAGCATAAAAATTATAAACGATCGTTTATTAAAAATACATTTCAAAAGAGTATCTAAATATAGAAATGAAATTTTGACCCCTCTAGAAGTACAAAGAAATATTCGCAATTAGTTTCGACCTACGCGACTAACAATTTACCCAAAAAAGATAATTATCAGTGTGGCAATAATTTCAATCGGTGTTTCTTCATCATCAGAGATCGTATATTCATAAGTATGAATTATTTTCTTATCATATTTCTGAAATATTAAGTAAACGTAAGATAAAAATAAACTTCCTGCATTAAATAGAGCAAAAATGATCTCTTATTTCATTTTCACGATTCATTATCAGAGTATTTACAACTGCAGATGGATTCATCGATATAATTATAGAAAAAACACACGTCTCTATCCTCAATTCGCCCTGAAGACAAGCGAAAACAAAAACAAATTAGTAGTTTTTCGAACAGATGAGCAGCCTCTTTTGTTAGTAATGATGAACTATAAAAAAAAGAATAATATTAACACGCAATCAAAATATCTATATAAGAAAATGATGTATACTTCATATACGCATACGCTCAAGTATTAATTATAAAGCTAATGAATTACAATCCGTGAAAAACAAATTATGTTAGAAATGTTTTGAACTAGCGAGAAAAAAAATACTAGTTTCAATGAATTAAAACATGCAAAACATAATTAAAAAAAATAATAATAAAGTTTCCATTTATCGTTTAATGGCAATGCTCATTATAATCAATAACAGATGAACGACGCCAACCGAATAGAAAATGCCCTAAACCTGCACCAAGCACAATGGCAATCAATAAATATGTATTATAAGTCATGGCTACAAGCATTAATAAATAACTAAATGCCATTTGTACTATATGTAAAAGTGTTTGGATTGCATGCGGAAAACTCAACAGACGAGCTCTAAAAATAAAATAAAATGTATCATATTTAATCATTAATTAAAAATGAATCCGAACAAAAAAAAAGTTGAAAGCAAGCGATTATTTGTTAGTCATCCGTTCTCACCTATTCGTTTGACGAATTTCGCTTCTAGCAGGCGATAGTAAAGCATTTTCACTATGTCTTTCGTTTTGTTGATAATCTGATTGAATGCTATATAACCCATTATAAATCATAATGTTTTTTAAGCAAAATTCGCAAAAATAAGCAATCAAATAAAATAAATATTTAAAAACATTTAATTGTTTGCTTTTATTTTGAATCTATCCAAAATTAAGCACGATTATTAACTTACAGAGTTTGTTGACGATTTTCTGTTTGACTACATGCTTGACAGAAATCACGTTTTGATAATGCATCTCGAAACGTTTTCAATGCTTCGTAGAGTACAGCAAAGAAAAATACTGCAAACCATGAGGCAGTAAATGCTTGAAAAAAATAGGAACTTATTATTTCCTACTGGGAAAATGAAATAAAACAAGCAATAATTACCACCAACTGTTGTTGTATGCCATTGATCAAATAAAATTTGTTCGTTATAGCCACCATGGAAAGTCATCTATTTTAAAAAATCATAAGAATTGATATAAAATGAAATCCTTTTGTCGCATAATCTTGTTGAGTTAACATGAGAGGCGGAAAATGATGAGTTTGATATATAGTAGAATATTTTACATCGTATCGAAAAATTGATTACTAAAACACGAGTTCTTTAGGAGCTTTTTCGACTTAGGAATTACACTAGAAAATATCGTCGCTTAAATTAGAACAATTCCGTCCAAAAAATGCCTCTGTTTCAACACTTTAAACAAAGCAGAACTGATTTTATTCCTGTGAAAAAACAAGCCCGTCAACATCATCGCCGGGAGATTTTTGTTTACAGGAAAAAATCTATATTGTTTTTGAGAATTCGAAAACTGCGCACTCTAAGATGCTTTTTTCCCTATGTATTATGTCTGTTTTTCTTTCTCTATGTGATTTGTTGTGTTATAGATGATGCTGAATTTACGAAAAGAAAAGAGAACCGTTCACTTCACTAAGGACATAAAACTTTCTATAAATGTGTCCAGATCGTTTTTCTCTGAAATTTTTGAGACATGATTAATACATCCGTATTCGATATTTAAATAGTTTTTAATATCAAATGGCTTAATATATAAAAGTCGGCAAAATGCCAAGGTTACGTTTCTATTGACATTCTAGTAAATCAGTTTTAAACAAGAAATTCTAAATGGATAAAATTATATTATGATCCAATTTATAATATTTGTATTATAGAAACATTCTCAAGGCTCTTCTTTTTTGTTTCTATCTCATGTATTCAATGAACTGAATCGTAGAAATAAAATTTTGACGGATCACATTTTTATTATTAACTGAGCATTTTTGTTTTTTCCTACATGAAATTTTAGTAGATTGACACTAGCAATTATAAATGCTATATTTGTAATTTAAGAGAAGAATATTTTAAAAAAATTTTCTATTTTGCATCATAATCAAACATTAGCAAAAGTCAAACTCCAACAGAAAGGTAATATCTTTCCTTCTCACAGTGACGTCAGAAAAATATTGTCTACTTCATATTGCTCTCAATTAATTCTAACACAAACTTATCGTTCTTTAGCTCATCGTCCATCGTATAATGATCAACGAACGTCTCGTGAGATAATCTAAGCTATTGGTTCATACAATTGTAAATTAAAACTTATACTTACAGCCATCATCATCATATCTTTCATATGAACTCCATGACCATTGGACATTGCGCCTTTAATGGCTGAATGATCATGGCTGGTTGATAGATTTGAAGTAGCAGTCATACCTGTACGCTGCTGTAAATAATTCATAATGGTTTCTAAAAGCAAAAACAGAACAGTTATTGTCGCTGTTGTTTTCTTTGTTAGAAGGCAAATGAATTGTTTTTTTATTTGCGTGATAAGAATAAAATAAAATGAAGAGCTATGAGTATAGAGAAGAACGCATCAAACCTGATGATAATAGTTGCTGTCTTTTATCGTTGTCACTTTTTGAATTAAGTTTTAAACAAATAAAAAGAGAAACGAAGGTCAAGATAACGAAGCATTTTACACGATAATCTCGGAAATGTTGCATAAATCGAAATCAAATCATTGAATTTGAATCAGGAGAATTTACATTAATATCTATAAACAAAATATATGATGTAGTTTTTTATTTCAGTAGGTAGACTAAGGACAGCATATCAGTAAAATCATACGCAGTATGTCGCTCGTAGTCGGTTGGTGGTCTTGCTTTTGAATTATCCATTGAAGTTGTCGTTATTTTCGCTGTCTTCTTATCAATAATTTTGAAACATGAAGACTGATTGTTGTGTACTCAAAAACCAAAAGTGGGTACACTAGAATCGGTCAGTGTGTCCGACTGTTTACACGATAGCTCTTTTGAAAGGCTGATCCGATTGTCATGAAATTTTGTACACAGAATAATCCCATCAATATCTCAGTCGAGTTCGAAGATAAGAAGGATGCGTCAAGAAATGGCTGAGTTATCGAAAAAATTGGCATTACTGGCCAGACCATCCCCTGGGGGGAAGGGGGGGGGCGGTACAGGGATTNCCCCCCCCCCCCCCCCCCCCCCCCCCCCCCCCCCCCCCCCCCCCCCGGTACAGGGATTTTTTCAAAAAACAAATTTTCTCAGTATTATTCACAACATATATAAATCGACTCAGTTTTTGCAGTACACATAACAATCGGATGCAAATCCGATATTTCCGCATTTATTTTTCTATTATATTGAAAACGAATAATCATCTTCTCCCAGGTTACACTGCCAAAAACATAACACGTTTAATAATGTATATCATAGTGAACGCTCTATAAAATTAGTCTTTCGATATAAAATTCAATGAGATTATATTTTAGATCGATCTTACTGTCATAAGTAAAATTCTATATTGAAACTCGATGAAACAAAAATTTGAACTTTAATATAAGAGCGTTGATCTCATTCGAACGTTGGCGTATATTAACTAAATTCAATATGTAATTGTAAATCGAGTTTAAATTATCATAAAAATTGCCTCATTACATGATCTAGACAGATAAACTCTAGATCGACTAAAGTAAATATTCATTGGCAAAAAAGAAAGTTCATTTATGATTTGTTTGGTGGCTTATTAATGTACTTTCTTGTTCTTTCTGCTATTCCATATAGAATTGAATGAATCAACTAAAAAATTTATGATCCTTTTTTTCATGATTATACAGAGCAACCTGCGAATTACGTTCAGTGTTCTCGTCATCGGAAGTGACTGAAGGCAAACATTTGTATATAAATATATATATATTTAGGTGAATACGATAGAAGAAAAACGTGAGAAATGAGAAAACGTCAAGGCTCTCGTGAGAGACACTAGCTCCCTGCTTTTCTTTTATTCTATTCCTACCCAAATCAATTCTTTTTTGTGCGAAACAAAAAGAATAACCAATTCAGCCGGATAAGAAAGAAACCGAGAGAAGGAAAAAAACTTAGAAAACATATTTACCGAATGAGACCGATTCATGAGTATATGTTTATGGAAAAGTAAAGTAAAAGAAAGAAGTTTTCTCTCGATTTTTTAGTATGAATTAATAAAAGTTTTTTTTTCCTCTTCTTTATTTCTGTGTTTTTGTTTTTGACTGTATGTGTAAATTCAACACAATAAGAAAAGCAATATGTTAACACATCATGATAAATCCATGGGTATTGATAATCTTCATCGAAGTGATATATCAATTATTCATGAAGACGATGATGATGATGATAATAAGCATCAAAATACGCAAGCCAATGGCGAAATTGAAGAATTAGAAACATCGAGAACACGAAGATTAATTAAAAAAGTAGCAAATTTTTTAGTTTCACATATTGGTTTAGTTGGCCTTGTTGTTGTTTATGCCGTTGCTGGTGGATTTTTATTTGAACTACTGGAGCAACATCAAGAAAAACTAAATTGTCAAGAAGCATTCGGTGAACATACAGTTCAACTTACTAAATTAAAACAACAACTTGTTGCTTATATACAATATAATGTTTCATCATTCTCATCAACATCAACGACATTAACATATTCACTTGAAAGAGATAACACAACAGTTGCCTATACAAAAATCGGTTTGATGTTATATAATTATAGAGATTTTGTTATTACAACTGGTGCAAAATATCGATACTATGGAGATGATTGTTCTGTTATTAATAAGTGGACGTATCCCAATGCTTTACTTTTTGCGATAACAATTATAACAACCATTGGTTATGGAAATGTGACGTAAGAAATGAATAATAAAAAAATTTTGTTTTTAAATCTTCTTCACTTTTTTTTTCTTCTATTTAGACCAGTGACATGTAAGCAAAAATTTTCGTTAGTTTTCGATAGATATTTTTTTGAATTATCAATTATATATTATAGGGGAAGGTCAAATATGTTGTATATGTTATGCGACTATTGGTATAGAAAATAAAAAATATCCTTCAGTGATTTGAATATTTCGTTTCTTTTTCTTCTGTGGCCTATAGGTATTCCAATATTTCTTTTATGTGTGGCAAATATAAGTGGTGTTCTCGGAGAAATGTTTCGTTTATTATATTCAAAAGTTATCTGTAGACCATGTTATATGATTAAAAGACGACGTGCTAATGCACGGAAAGCTAAACTTGAAGAAGAAAATGGAATGCATAAAGATCATGAGATTGCTGCCAGTTGGAAAGTTCAAGACAATAGTAATAATACCACTAATACATTAGCAAAAATAGCAAATCGTGTTTTGCCTGAATCGGAACAAGATGAAGAAGAATCCTCACAAAATCAACGTGTTGCGGTGCCATTAACAATAACTATGCTAATCATTGCTTTTTATATATGGGCTGGTTCACTGATATTTCATGCGTTTGAACAATGGTCGATGATTCAAGCTGGATACTTTTGCTTTATTACATTGGGTATAAAAACAAAATATGAAATTTTGAAACAACATAAGATATTGATTTATTTTTGTTTCAGCAACAATCGGATTCGGTGATTTCGTAAGTAGCTCAGATTTATTTTCTCTTGATGCTGCGACTCATTTCTTCCCTAGACATTAGAATAAACGAGTCATAACTACCATAGTTAAATCGCTACCTCGTAGCAGACACTTACTTTTCCAATTAGTTTCATTTAGATGAGATATTGTAAAGAAAATTCTGTCCCAAGTTACAGTTATAGATATTTGTAAGAATGTTATTGATTTATGAAATCTAGCACTAGGTAGTACCTCATACAATATGATTGCTGAAGGACACAAATATTTTGGTCTAGTCTTAATCATTTTATAAAAACCTTCAAGGACAACTTTATATCATGAAGAAATTAATGTATACTATAAAATTGGTCTACTTTCTCATGTTATTTGCTTTTATATTATACAAATAATAGGTACCTGGCCAAAGAAAAGATGATCCCAAAGCAAGTTTAAAACTTATAGTTGGCGCTATCTATGTGCTTTTTGGTATGGCAATTCTAGCCATGTGTTTTGATTTAATGCAAGAAGAAATCGTGGCAAAATTTCGTTGGATAGGCCGTAAAATTGGTATTATTGAAAAAGAAAAAGTTATCATGATGAATCAACAGAGTCAACCGCTTCAATATAATAGACCTCTATCAGGAACATCGTCTATTACTGATTTTAGTTCAACGATGAATTCAACTGGTAAAATAATTGACGATGACAATGAAAATGGATTCCAAACACGTCGTAGTTCAAGTGGAGCACGGAAATTTAGTCCTCGTAATAATATCGCTCGTGTTCATCCCGTAACAGTCAGCTCAAACGAAGGAACACTTCATCAGCGAGCCCCTATTGCGAAAGCAAATTAACTATTTAAAAAATTTATGGTTTTTTTCTGAAAAATAATTCTTTATATTTATACATATATTTACATATTAATTGCACTTTTTTTCACGGCTTGAATTTATCTTATGTGAAATAAAGTATGACTTATATTTCTCTAATTGAATATTTTTATTCACGAGAAATGAAATAGAAATGTTTGATCTGTAACGAAATACTATCATGCTATAAAAAAAAAAAAAGTCAAATAAGTAGCGAAAATTGCATAGCGAAGTTTAACTATTGTTTTTACTCCTATAATTTCTTATGAGTATTGTGCTTTGAATATTTTATTCGACTAGTATTTGTTTTTGTTCATGGCAAGCTAAATTATTTATTCTATTGTCATATATTTTTTGTTTTATTAGCGGTAAAATGAAACATTTACTGACGTCAATCATAAAGAAAGATAGAAAATTCTCGAAAAACAACATGTTTAAAGGAGCGTATGAGATAGTTCCTATTTGAGACTGTAGTAAATTCAGATATTTAAAATAAATTCGAAGTTTTTTTCCATATCATTACCAATTAAATCATGTTAGAGTGTGCGCATGGAATTCACTCACATCTCTAAAGGATAGTTATGGTTATTTGACTTTTTCGCTGCAAATTTATCATTGATGGCGAAACAAGTTACATACATAGCTAAATCGAAATTCTTTGTACTTCTGAACTAGTGATCTGCGTGACCAATCCGTCGTGACCAAAGAAATAAAAGATTATTCAATAACAGTTTCTATGGTGGCTGTGGAAAAATAATTCTAATTGATGTTTTGTGTTCAGAATTTTAAGCTCTTCAAAACGATACAAGAAGATTGAAGATACATTGAACTACCATGGAGAAAACTTCAACCCATTTGTCGTGATCAATTTTGGTCACGACCGGTCACGAAGTTTTCTGGTCACGACGAATATACCGCAGTTTTCTCCGCTGCAGATGAACGTATCCTCAATCTTCTTGTATCGTTTTGAAGAGTTTAAAATTCTGAACACAAAACATCAATTAGAATTATTTTTCCACAACCACCATAAAAACTGTTATTGAATAATCTTTTATTTTTTTGGTCACGCAGATCACTATTCTGAACATTCCAACAAAATTACGAATGTGTCATGTGTTACAATGATATCATTGTATTTCATAAACCAGAACTGGGGTGTGTTTGAAGGTTAAGAATGCAGAGAATAACAACGACTATATATGTACTTGCCCATAGCAATATCCGTTTTGGGAGTGTCTCTACGTGTACACCCCTCAAACACACCCAGATCAGCAGGCTTACATTGTTGTACGCTCGCCAATTCCTATTAAAAATAGAACCATTTGACAGGAGAAAATATTCTGCCTCTAATATTAACAACTAGAGAGCAAATACAACTGACTCAATGAATGTAGACGAGAAAAGTAGGAATATAACGTGAAACTTATTTTCGTAACTGAATTAATCATAGAAAGAACTTTTTTTGTTGAACAAAACGTTTATTTCAGTTGAATTCGTATCCGTACTCTCACCCTCAAGATTTCCTGACCAATCTGCTAGTTTATGCCTTGTTGCTATAAACTATAAGCAAAATATGAATTTAAAAGTTTGAAATAACTGATAAGACTTTCATGACATTTTCTCCGAAATGAGTCGAATTTCACTATTTTATATGGAATTCAAGAAAATTTTTCAATCAAATCTTTTTCTGATTGTTTCTTAGTTAAATATATATATTTGTAAAACTGCTTGTATATCTATGAATTTACTTTTTTTTATGCATTGACAAAAGTCCATATTATTTCATGTGATATTTCGTTATCTGCTTTGCCTTTGTTTTCTTATTTTTCTTTTATTGACTTGTTTACGAGTTTATAAGAGTAAAAAAGAAGCAAATTTGAAACTATTCATTCTACTCTAATATGACAGATGAATTAACAATGGGAAAACATGTATGTATAGATATATATATATATATTTAATTAGCTTCGATTTCTGTCGAATATTTTCTTGTAGCCAATCGTTGATGATATGCAACATTTGCTATAGTATTGTTTCGAAGTTCGTCAATAAGTGTATAAAATGAATTAACAAACCATGGTGCAGCATCACGCACCTTTTCTCGTACAATATTTCCACCAAACCCAATAAAACCATTGGCATCGGCTTCCATATCAGTAGCACCATCACCAATCATAATTAAACGTTGATAACCATATTGATTTTTAAGATATTCAACAGCACGTCCTTTACCACCAGAATCCGATGTCATTTCATCTTCATCGAAACCGGCATAGGTACCATCATCATTGAATAATAGTCGATTGGCAAAAACATTTTTTAATGGAATATTTAAGTTTTTAGCAACAGGGTCAACTATATAATGAAAACCACCTGTTATTAAATAAACGGGAACGTTTCTTTCATGTAATAAATCAATAAGTTCCGCAATACCGTCGGTTAATTGAGATGGATGACTTACAAGAAATTGTTCTAAACGTGGACGTGTTGGTTGAATAAGGTTAAGACGCGCTTGTAAAGCTGTACGAAAACTCATATTACCACCCATTGCATTTCTTGTTATAGCTTCAACTAATGCACCAACTTGCTGAAATTTTGCTAATTCATCAATAGCTTCTTCTACACATACAGTTGAATCAACATCAAAACAAACACAATCTGCTGTCAGCCATAATTGACGAATTAAGTCTTGTTTATTGGTTGAATGTACATTGGCATTGCCACTAGCTGTTGAAGTAGATAGACCTTTAGTCATTTTAGTCTTAATAAAAGCAAAAACTGAATTTGAAGCGCGAAAGACACACACGGACACACTCTGTCTTTGACTGGTGCTTTTTATATGCAAACGTTTCGTTGATAGTACATTTGTCGGTACGAATGCGAAGGCGAGTAGAACTAAGAAAAAGATAAGTAGAACATGCGAATAACACGCATTCAACTCATGATTTCGATGAATAGAAGAAGAAGAAAGAGAGAGAGAACGCGTTTTGTTTCAATAGACCAATCATTGTGATAGCGTCATTTTCTACACGTATTTACTTTGTCGGCATGGCTACTACGTGATAAAAGAAAAACATCCTTGTAACTTTCGATTTTTTATTGTTTTGGGATGCATGATTCAACCGTTTCTGTATTCGTTCGACAAGGTCATTTCATAGATAACGACACACTTTTCACAATCACGTCCATGCAGTTAGACCAAAAGTACATAAAAACATAAGGCTATACACGATAATGATACGGCCTATTGTGATATATATAACAAAGGAATATAACTAGTATTTAGTATCGGCGACAATAAACTACTCGTGACTGAAGATGAATAGAAACTTTGCACCCATCGAAGACAAAGAATTTTTGTCTGAAAAAAGCGACGCAATCATTTTTATACTTCGCCATTAACTGACAAACTGACGAATGAAATATTTTTATTTGCATTAACGACTATGCTGACTATCATAGTTTTTAAAGTATACATCATCGACACTTACTTTTATTTCAGTAAACTGAAAAATGCAGATAATTATTTTAATGCAATAATTTCTACTAATTAGGATACGATATTTTACGGAGAACTAACATTTTACATTGGATAATATTTATAAAATGTACTACTACATATGACTTTTATCTGAATATCCTTCAGTGATGACTCATACTAAGTTAATTCTATCTACACTCTCGATTGGTTTCACGAAAGAAAAATGACCTTTCGATGGCTACTGTATTTACTGACCACATGTATCCAACAAACACGTGGTAGTTAATTATAGCGGAGGACTCCCTTGAATAAAAAAAAAAAATGTTCATTCGAAGAATATTTAAATATGTACCAAGACGATTACTCATCGGTAGCATCCGATATCGACACGCATAATATTCAAGTAGATTGAAAATATTTTTAATTTAATTTAATTCAATAATTTATTTTGAAAAGATTTATCTGAGTGTCTTTTTTGCACATAATAAACTCGGAGCTGCCTTTTATGATTCGACTTCAGCAATAATTTATTTTATTCCAGATGTCGAAGAAACGTCACGGTTTGATATTACTCAACAGAGTAAGATTTTTTCAAAAACTAGAAGTTTTTTTTTATCAATAACGAAAAACTATCTTTTAGTTCTATCTGATATTCAACCATCGATAGTTATTTGTTCCGCTAAAACAAGCGATGAATATTATAAAGCATTAAATGAACAGTTGAATATTCAAACAAGTTAAGAATTATAAAATTCTTTCAACTTATACTTTTCGTTTTTTATAGTTGATGCAAATAATCCATCGACAAATACGAAATTACAACTCGTACCACAAGCTTATTTTCGTATATATATATGTTTACTTTATTTTATAAATCATTGTTTTTTTCCCTTGTATTAGATAAAGATACTGTTGAAAGGACGATTTTGACACTGAAATCACTATATCCAATAACATGTGATACTGATGAAAAAAAACGTGCTTATATTTCAGCAAAAATGCCTTTTAATCTTCCAAACACCGTGGGTTTTGTTTATTTTTCCATTTGATAGAAAAGAAAAAAATCTTATTTAGTTAAGTGCAATCGGTGGTCTTTTGCCAATTATTGAAGAACGTTGCCCGGCTTTATCATATGAATTTGATTTTCTTGCTGGAAACATTCTTGCGCTACGCCCTTATGATCTGTAAGATTAGAATGAACTATCAATGAAAGATTTGTTTCTTGTTGTAGTAATGCTTTAATGATAGTACATCCATTTACTTTTCGGTATGCAAAAAGTTTTTTTGGTATTTTAATATTTTGATGGTGACTGTTAAAATAGTGCATTGGAAATTTTCAACCCTAGTTTTCATCCATCGATATATAAAGCTAATACGGCGAATAATCTACGAGAAGTTAATAGTCTTTTTGGTAATCGATGAGACATATTTTTTTATATCGTAATTCTGTTTTTTTCTGATTGAAGCTTTTTTAAAACGATGTGTATCATCAATTGGAAATCGAAAATTAAGGTGAAATATATTTGATAGTTCGAAAATACGATTAACATTATTATAAATAGATCATGGTGTCTTAAACCATGTCGATCACCGGAAATATTACAACGTCGATATGATGTTATTCAATTTTTTCTTGATCCAAATCAATTTGAATTATTGCGAACATTACGTGACCATTTAAAACCAGTAGTCAATATTCCAGTAATATTCATAATCTTTTATTTTTGTGAAAAGAAAAACAGCAAGACTTATTTTCTTGTAACAAGGTTTTACTTCGAAAAGTTTTTGATCAAAACACAAAAGTATCTATATGGAAACAAATCATCGAAGTATGAAAATTTTCTTCGATCAATTTGAGAGTATAAAACAAAATTCATTTTAGTCGATTCGAGCAACACTTCGAATTCGTATGGCCTTAGTACCATTTCGAACGAATACATACTTTTTTGATGATTTATGTTCAAAACTCACCGATGATTTACCAAGATTAATGACTACTATTGAAACAAGTGTACGTAGAAAAATAATCCTAGCATTTAATTCTACAGAATAAAGATCACACACTAAGTAATATCCATTAGAATACTTTCGCAGTTAAAATGTTCATGATTGCTCGAAGAATAACTGATTATTAGTTAAATAGATAAAACACTTCTTTTTGACAGTTCTGCAGGCTAAGAATAATATATAGGATGACTTGCAGTTCAAGCATACCTGGGGTGAGGTTGTAATGAGAAAAATATACTGTAGCGAGTATAGATTCTACGAGCTTGATTCAAAAAATTATCTTTACTAATGGCATGTAAACTTGAATGAACGGTGAATATTATGAAAAGATTATGTGTCTTTAGCTTACTCACCCACATCCTTCTAGTCACTATTTTTTAAATTTCTATAGATTGATTTACAACGAAGTGTACGTGACAATCGTATTGTATTCATTGATCCAACTGATCCAGATCTTGAACAATGTAAATATTTCTTAGTTAGTTGATTCGAAAATTTCTATTTGATTAAATATAGTACGACTAGATCTGGTTCAATTGAATGGAAAACTTCATCAACAAGCTGAATTTGCTAATAATCTTTTATTACAATGTGGAATTGATTCAAGCTATGCCTTAACTCAAGTAACACCAAAAAAGGATTTCCCTATTCATTTTATTTGAAAGAAAAAATGTCGGTTCTCATAGGATAATGGAATTTTATTAATTAAAGGAGACAAATTTCATCATGACGATCTTATTTGGATTGATCGGCAAGGACAAATATGGCGATGGTAGAAGAGTTGTAATTAACAGAACATAAATAGATCATACTATGTTTAATTTAGTCGTACTCGTGAAATGAACGTATCAAGCGAAGAAGCTGAAGAAAAAAGAAAACAATTACTTGCTAAAGAATTAGCTATTAAACGAAATCTTTCCTTGGTAGAAAAATGAATCAGATCTTCTATTTAAAAAAGTCTAATTTTTTAAAAACTAGGCTTTACGTGATGCTACTGAATTGTTTGTTGATGCAACAGAATTCTGTTCACAACTTGATTGGTAGAAATTTATTGATTATTTAGATTTTTTTTTATAATTTGATATTCTTCCAGTTTACTTTCATTTGCGTTAATTGCTTACGAACAAAATAATTATACACGACCGGAACTAGTAGTGAACAATCGAATTGAAATTATCGATGGAAGGTGTGTATAAAAAAATTCGAATTATTTTACAAATTTTCTAATCTATTAGACATCCATTATTACCAATTACGACAGTCATTCCAAATGGTTATATAAGTGATGTCAATCCTAATCAAGCTAATATACATATTATAACTGGATTTAATTGTTCTGGAAAAACTATCTATATAAAACAAGTAAAAAGATTAAAGAAGATATCATCTTTTTCTATTTTCTATTCAGATTGGATTACTCGTTTATATGGCTCAAATTGGTAAGTTATTTAGAGCTTGTCTTGACTCTTTCCGTAGATTTACAGAATTTTTTCAGTAGAAAATAAGTAAACTGAATCAATTGCTGACTAATCTTCTTTTTAAAATTCCATTTTCATGTTGATAAGAATCGACATTACTAGTTAGATGTATCGAATCATGAAGATTAAATTATCTCCTAATACTAATCGATAAATTCAGTTATAGTACTAGTTCTACGAGAAGAATTATTAAAAAAATCGCGTTACAATTTTATAATCATCGTTTGTGCATATTTCATCGATTTTCAAAGGTTGTTTTGTACCGGCTGCTAAAATGCGGCTTGGTTTAATGGATAAATTATTTGTTAAAATTCATACTGGTATGTTTTAATACTTTTGAAGCAATCATTCGTCTCAAGGATATATCTATGCAGATAATCATCTTACCTTGGGCGTATCAAATTTTCTGCGTGATCTATTTGAAACATCATTTGCTGTTGCTGGTGCTACTGGTCGATCATTAGTACTGATTGATGAATTTGGTATTGGTACCAATGAGGTATAATATTTTTTGTTCGCAGCAAAAGAAAAATAACGATGAAATTCCCAATAGATTGACGGTACAGCATTATTAGCATCACTTATAACTATATGGTCTAAATCTGAACAAGCATGTCCACATCTTATAATATCAACTCATTTTCATGATCTTATTCAACAACGTCTCGTATCAACAAGTTCAAGAATTCGCTGCAAAGTAGGATGTCTCTTTTTATGCCAAATAGTTTATTTTATTTTTCTAGACAATGGAAACCATGTATGATGATGATGGTAAACTTGTATATTTATATCGAGTTATCGATGGTCTATGTACTCGAAGCCAAGCATTCAGTGCTGCATTAACTGTAGGCTTGCCCAATGGTGTTGTTCGACGTGCAAATGAGGTTCGATTTGACCTCTTGTTCTTTCAGTATATGAATTATTTATTTAGTTACTTGATAAAATCGAAAATAATCAAGTACTTCATCCAATGAGAAATTTTACTGATATGGAAGAGTAATTGTTATTCATTGATTTGTTCTAATCAATGTACTATGTCTTGTTTCTAGAATGGTTGATCTTGTTGAAAAAGCAGTACAAGTTAATGTAAATGACTATAGTCAAATAGGAAATTTTTTCCAATATCTACACGATATTATCATTAAACATGTACCAAACCATAGCAATGAATAATAAACACAAAATAATCTTGGTTATCTACTTTTCGCTTATACTTAACTAATTCATTTTTCTTCTATTATTTATGAAAGAAAACAAAATTAGCATTCTGATTAAAGAATGTAGGTTTCTTTTTGTCGATTAATAAAATTTCACTAGTTAGCAAAAAAGAAAAACATGTCTACCGTTTCTCATGTAAGAACTAAAACCAGTTTATTCATGAAATCGTCGTTAAGATATTCAAGCGATTTGTATGTTAGCGACAAATTTTTGCACATGATTGAAGGTAAATCAAAAGGAAAGAAAAAACACTAACGTAACATTTTAGTCGACGTTATCTAATATTAATGAAAAATTTCTTCGCGTAGTTCGAATGGTTAAAGTTTAATCGTAAAGAAAAAGATTTGATAATTATGATTACAAAAAAATGATAGGACTGGTTTCCATAGATTTTATTTCAATATTAACGTAAAAATTCACTCAATGTTCGATAAGCACATGGTTTCTCTTCGAAGTGTAAAGTATGAACAATATCAAAAGACTACTGCTTTTCAAATAGAAATGTGATAAGGAGCTTTATACTTCTTATACAAGCACTTCACAATATTCAATAGTATGAAATTAATACAAAAAACTTGAATAATATCAAAAAAGAACAAAGTTGCATTTAATAAATAACATTTGGATTCGGTGGTGGCTGTGGCGGATTCGCGTCTCTAGTCATACGTGAACAAGCCATAATATATTCATTGAAATCTAATCCACCCGTTTGATTTAGATCAAAATTACGAAACGCTATCTCAGAATCACGCTCCACAGCATCCCACGTCATGTTTAATAGCGATGCAATATAAAGTTTACGAAAACCTTCACGATCAATAACACCGAGTGGATTAGTGTAACTAAAAAATTCACGTCTTAACCGTTCGATATCATCAATTGGCCAGCCCGTTAAATTAGCAAGAAATAAATCCTGTTCATAAGATGATGATGCACTTACACCAGATGATGGCATAGGATAACGTGGCATGCCAGGTGCATTTGGATATGGTGGTCGCATAGTTGATTGTGGTTGGATTGGCAACCCAGTTGGTCGGTATTGTGGAGGTTGTTGTAGAACAGATTGACCTGGTGGCACAAATTGAGGCTGTTGTAGAAAAGATTGACCTGGTGGCACAAATTGAGGCTGTTGTAAAATTTGACCGTAGGGTACACATTGTTGTGGAGGCATTTGAACTGTGCCTTTCCCTTTATTTACCATGCTGCCCATAATTGTATTTTTATGTATGGGATTGGAACGACTATGTTAATAATTATTTTTCAAAATAGAAGTAAGTTTTTTTTTTGTCGTTTTTGCTAGTCATTGAAGATACTGTGTTGTTTCTGTTTTTTGTAAAACATGGCTAATAGAACAGAAGCGATAATGAAGTGCTTGAGGGACCATTGCACGTATTGTACAAGGTAAAACTAGTCGGGTGAAACCATTCGAGACAAACCTTGTATCGTTTTCTTTCGTTTCTCTTTTTCTATACATATTTCACTGTAGAAATCAGTCACGATTTATTTCAAGTATCATCGACAAAGGTATACAATATACATTGATATATATATACTACGGCTTCATAAGCAAAAATAAAAAAAAGATGCCAAGTTAATTAAACTAATTATAATTTACACTTGACTGATAAAATTAAAAATATATAAAAATCAACTGTTATTTTTCTACATATTCAATGGCAAAATTGAATGATTGAATTTAATTTCTTTTTCAAATTATTAATACTAATAATATTTGTTGTTGAACATAATCCATACTAAGAATCTATAAAAATACAAAGGAACTTTGTTTGCTTCAAATTATAAGAGTCTATACTATGTTTCATAGTAATTAGGTCGGAGCAAAAGTTCTGTAATTTAAAAACAAATTAAAGAAAAAGAGAAAGTTCGAGTTTTATTTTATTAAATGCTGATGATAGTTGCCATGATTATATATATCAAGTTGAATCCTTTCTAACTTTTTGTTAAAAGTTTTTTTTTGAACTATTTTTCGCAATAAATTTTAACAAAAAGTTAGAAAGGATTCAATTTGATATATATAGTCATGACAACTATCATCAACATTTAATAAAATAAAAATTCGAACTTTCTCTTTTTTTTAAATTTGTTTTTAAATTGCAGAACTTGTGCTCAGACCTAAGTACAATATCGCCATGTTGATGAAAATATTATACTTCAACTATCGAGTTTAGTTATGTGAAAAGGATCGATATTTCTTTAAAAAGAAAAAGAAGTCATCAATTTTACTCCTTAGTATGAAAATATTTCTCTTTAGAAGAGATTTATGCACCAGCTGTTCTTTTATTCCAATTCCTGGAAATGAGGAAATTAAAAAAACAAGCTCGTGAATGATTACGTATCCGTGTTGCGTTTTGTGTTGCAGTGACAAAGAAGAAAAAAAAATTACGACAGTCGACATGAGTCCTTCATTCTGCAAAGCATTACAAATACGCGAAACAAAAATATTTAAACACATGAATAGCTTTATTCTTTGAGAATGAAGACTTATACTTCTTTTCTATTCTGATTTCAATTAGCAATGAGTAAGTTAGAATAGATAAATAAACGATATAGTTTTCCAGTTTTTTAACAGACATTTTCTTTTGTACTATTTGTCTGCTATTTTCTTCTCATATTGTCTTGCTTTCATTATACTTCTCAGCATAGGATCGTTTAATATAGTAGATAACATTATTTTGTTTTTGCCACGAAAATATTACTTCCCATGTAGCCGGTTCCTGAAAAATAATGCATTAATTTACATGATAATACAACGTATTTCATGAATTTTTCTCAAGCTCGCATCAAATTATCTCATATGATTCGTGAATTTTCGATTGCATGCTTGCTCGTTTGAACAATTATATGATCATAGCATGTTATGCAAGAGGAAAACGGTAGAATCCATGGATCCACTTTGATATCAAAATTCTTAGAATTATAAAAATATGATAGTTTTCATTTTCTCAATTCTCTATTGAAAGTAGAGAAAAAAAATTAAGCCAATGTAATATTTGCGAAGACTGCAGGAATCAATCAAGAAATTTTTAAATTAAAAGGTTTTTTTATTATCAATAATTATATTATTTATTGGTTTAAAAACCAACTGTAAAATGTAAAAAAAATATCAAACGGACATAAAAGTATAAAAATGCAATACTTGACAGAACCAATTAACTATAAAAGAAAAAAACAAGTGAATTATTAAGTTAAACACATCAATTTAATATAAAATCTAACCGTATAAGAGAACACGAAACAACCCTGTAATCGAAGAAGCACAAACAAGAAATGTTCGGTATATAAAAATTATCTTCTTATTGTTCTTTTTGCTGATTCTCTTGTGTTATGTGAAGATTCTATTGCTTGAACTTTTCTTTTCACTTGTCTTTTACTTTTTAATGGTGATGGTTATGTTCGATAATTTTTTCATCACAAGTTTAATCTCTGTAGATTTGGACATGGGAGATGCTGTTAACTGAAGTTGAATTCGATTGTATTGTGTCTGATGGTAGTATAATAGGTATCGAAATTGGTGATGTAATTTTTTGAAGTGCATTATCTGATGTGTTCAATGGCTGCTGATTGTATGTTGGTGATGGTGATGATGATGAAGATAATAGAACAGCAGCTGATCTTAGTATTAATGATGGCTTTCCTCAATTAATGGTTACGATGATTAAGATGAACAAGATGATACTCGAGATTTAGCTAATAAATACAACAAAAGGAGAATTTTCTGGAATGAAAGTTTTTAATATGATGCATCCACGTATAGAACATTTTTATTTTAAAGCTACAATCAATGATGATATAAAATATATACATAATCAGACTGCTTGTTGGTTATTAACTGGTGAAAAAAGAAAAAGCAAAATGTCGAACGATTGATTGTTTCGAGTTAGAGCCCATCGGATCCTGCTCCGCGTCCAAAAATTTCTTTTCACCGGGCCCGGATTAAAAATGTTTTTAACTCTTGGATTAGATCACTAGAAAAATTTTATGGATATAATTGAGTGAAAATGAAACTGATCTTGTTGATGTTGAAGTTGTCTACCCAGGTCGATCAACGTGTGTCGTACACGGCCGTTAGTGACCGTTTACGACACGGCGAAATACGGTGCATGCCAAAACGTCGAATTATGGTGATTTACGGTCGGAAACGTTATAAAATGGTAGTATACTGCCGTTTACGATCGTATCAGGTCACCATAATGTTCGACCTGGGATAAGTTAAGAAACAACATAAGCACTTTAATATATTCATTCCTTATTCCATCTGAAGCTACACACTACTATCGAGTCGCTAGCAGTTAGAGCCCATTATAAATTAATTGTTAAAAACTTTTTATCGGATAATTGAAAGAGCGTGTAAGATGCACTACTTGCATGACAAAAAATGACAGAAATATGCCGTGTCTTCGGAACGATCACCAGATTCAATTAGAAAATTTGATTACAAGTTTAAGAGTATGTTTTGTGTCAGATCTATGTTTGATTAATAAATTAGGTATTTGTCAAGAATGCCAGCTTAACTTTACTTTCAAGTTAAAAAAGGCATAATTAAAATTTGTTGCTCAAAGAGTTAAAGTTCAAATAGATTCTTTCCTGCAAGAAATTTTCTGTTCAGAACTATTTGTGTTCATCAAAAAATAATTTTAACAAAAGAAAGATTTTCTGAAATTTATTTTCTATAAAGTATACTTTAAATTTTAGCTTTTTCGAAAGTTAAACTTAAAGATAGGCTTGCTTTAGCATTGAATTTAAAGATCAAAGTTGATGTACGCTAAACCCCCTACTAAGAAACTAATCTGTTTCCTATAAGAACACCATTTTTGAAAATTCTGATAGTTTTCGCGTGATACAATTTGGTGGGTCTTCTAATATGTTAGAGGGTTTACTTCAACTTGAATAATTCTATCAGAGTAGTTTCAAAGTTTTAATGTCACCACTAGTATGGATTCAAACGCTTTTGATATACTGGGTTCGGATCCAGAAATTCTTGGGCTCAATGGGCTCTACTTTGAGTGCAACAGATTAATAAAAAACTTAACTGTTTTGTTTTCTTTATATAATACTTTTTTCATTTATTTTCAATAAATGAACAACGCTTTACTGACTTTCAAGTCTTGACATAAAGAATGTGCTGTATGAGAATAAAAAAAGATAATATATGCCTATATCTGAATCCGGACTAATAAAAATTTTATCTAATAGTACACTTGACACAAACAAAAACAAAAACAAGTAGAAGTACCGAATTTTTATAATGGATTTCAGAAGAATAGGAAATCATTTTAGGAGACTTCATGTAACTCCATTTGAGTCCATTTGAATCCATCTGAATCCAAGGGACTGGATTCTGCTGTTTCCTCCTTGATGTTATGCCATATTATTTCTTTAGAAATAAAGAATAATTCGTAGAGCGCACGCCATTAGAGTAATATTTTAAAAATAGTTTATAAAAATTCATGAAATAAGATGCACTTATCGTGTAACCACATTTATTACCGAGCCATTTTAATGCGTAACTAATGCCGTTTATTTCTAATTACTATCTACAAGAGTTATTATTTATCTTCTTGCGCTTGCTTACACAGAAGAATATTTTTTGTAATAAATAAGAATCATAAATATATCTCTAGATTTAGCTTCTGTCTTGATAAGCATGTATCAAAGTGAAACTTTCTGTTTTTGGTTGGTAGATTTCAAGATGACTATGTTTAGTAGAATCGAGGATTTATTCTGTTCGGTATAATTATAAATCTTCTATTCGTATGAATCATATGTCAAAAAAACAAAACAACAACTTAGAACGTGTAAAAGAATGGAAAAAATTATTCCAGCATATTCATATTTGTAAGATAGAAAGAAAAATATATAGCTACGGGTAGGAGAAAAGAAGAATCAGATAGCTAGCTAGTATGTTATAGCGAGTATGTATAGAGAACGATTACTTGTCTAATTTCGTCGTTTAGCTTTGCATTTTCAAGACCATTATAAGCGATTGACAAATAACAAATGACAGATACAGATGAAAGATCAAAAAAAACTATCGAAGCCGAGCCACTTATCATACCGGACTTATTCGAAGGTTATCCATTAAATTATTTCAAGTAAATATTTCTTTTCTTGCTTTTATTCTAAAAGTTTTTTGTATGAAATTCTATTTTTTAGTTTACCATTGCATTATCGTAATGATTTAAAATCTGTTTTGATTCCTTATGGAGTTGTTCAAGATCGCATTGAAGCATTAGCTAGACGAATTTTCGATGATTTACATATCGGCATGCCTGAGCAACTTAGTAATTATATTGTTGAATTTTGTAATCGATAAAATAAATCAATTTTTGTAATATTTAGTTTGCATGTGTGTACTCAAAGGTGGTTATCGATTTTTTTCGGATTTAATTTTAAAAATTCAAAAGGAAAATCGGTTTGTTGATTGTGGTTAAATTATTATTCATGAATTATTTTTTGTTTTTAGTCTTCGGAGCGACCGTAGTTTACCGATGAGTTTAGAATTTATTCGTACACGTAGTTACGTTAATGATCAATCATCGGATAGACTGGAAATAATTGGTCTAAGTGATTTGAAAACATTGAAAGATAAAAATTTACTTATTGTTGAAGATATTATTGATAGAGGCGTTACAATGGCTACGTTAAAAAAAGAATTTGAGAAATTCGAACCCAAAACTATACGTGTGGCTTCATTAATTACAAAAAGGCGGAAAGATAAAATTTGTGTTTTTAAACCAGATTATTGTGGTTTTGAAATACCTGATCATTTTATTGTCGGATATGCACTTGTAAGGGCAAAATAACGTATTGTTTCTTAAATTATTTATTCTGCTTTCTTTATTAGGATTATAACGAATATTTTCGTGATCTCGAACATATATGTATCTTAAAAGAATCTGGTATCACAAAATATAAAGTTCTACTTTCATGATCAAATTACATAGAGAATATTAATTAAAAGAATTTGTACAGATTGTGTACTTCAAAAAAATATTTTGTTTCTAAAGAATAAAAAACAGACGAATTACACGATGGTTTTTGTATTTTTCGTTAATTTATTGTGTAAATATAATTTTTCTTTAAAAATGAATAATAAAAAGTAGTTTTGCTATTTTTTGGTGCAGATTTCAATTTAAAAATATTGAAACTTACACACCAGATATAGTTAATTAAAATGAAAGCTTCACTACAACGAAAGATGCAGTATAAATATATGGGAATTACTCTGATACTATCTTCTTCCACAATATAAATCTAGGTTGATGATTCTTGTTTTTATCCGGCCGTCTGTTTAGTAGTCTGATAAGATATTTATCGAAGGAACTCGTATTTCTTCGACATGTGACTCTGAGCTAGTACTGATCTGATTAAGAATTTTGCATATATAATATACAGTAAACATTCAAGGGCACATTTTTATGAGCTTATATATCTAGATAAATATTTAGTTTAGTAATAACTTAAGACGTATTCATTCATATAGATACTGAAATAAAGGAAAGAGAGAAAACAACACGTGTGTCTACTATATATTTAGTATAAAAATATTTTGCATAACTTAGCTCTGATACTATTTTTTCTTCTTTCTATTTTATTTTATAAAGATGACACACATCTTAGTGTCCTGATAAATCCCAAGGGGGACGTCCGTTGCGAATAAGTTTTTCGCTGGAATCCTGACAAGCGCTGCGATGCATGAAGATGATAGAAAACGAGCAACCTGGAGTGAAATGCGAGATATGAAAAAATTAATTAAGGCATATAATATGTTAAAAATAGAATTAATAATGAAAAATGTAGTAGGCTACTACTGATTTTGTGATATTATTTTAACGGTCTATTTTTCATTAATTTAAAGGTTTTAGTTAACTAATAATAACAACCATAAAAATGGCAAATCATTTGATGCATTAGCGAAAAAATTTTAGTCATTTACCTGTCTCAACACGTAGAATATTTTTAGACAATCATTAATAATAATAAATTCTTACTGAGTTCATTTAAGAGGAATCTCAAGAAGTTCATAGTGCAAAAATGCAAACAGCAGATGATCAAACAGGGAAAATTGAGGGTGGTGATAAGAACTAGCATGATAGAGATAGTGGAAAGAAAATTCAAATAACAACACGAAATTCTTCTGAAGACAACCGATAGCCATAATAAAACTAGAAGAATGTATTCTACGAACGTTTTTCTCGTTGTTTTTTTTCTAGAATTCAGCACTTACGAGAATTTCAAAAGTTCTAACAGTTCAAGATTTTAATAGTTTAAATCTTATGCCTCATTTTTTGTGTCATTTAAATTACGGATTCAAATATTAGACTGAACTTTTCGGTGCAAATATCACGTGATATCTTATATGTTCAATGTAGGTAACTCCTAACATCTTTCTATTCTAACGTAAAATCGAGAAAACTAGCGATTACTGACTATTGTTTACAGTACTTAAGAGAAAAGCTAGATTGAAGATTTATCAGAGATTCTAAAAGGTTTTTGTCATTGCTTCAAAACATGATGACCTTTCACACTTTTGTCTAAGTACATGTGTTTATATTTTGTAAGAGAATTTATTGGATCATCAGCTTCGTTTCGTATAGTTGTAAAGTGCAGATAAAACGAAAACAAGAAAAACAACATAGCATTTTCATTCCCTTTTTTATTATTGACTTATCCTCGTCGTTTTCTTTTTTAGGTTTATATCACGATGAAAAAATAGAGGTAATTTGTCTTTCTACATTCTTCAATAGTTTACTGTCGAAATTTGATATCTTTCAGTGTCATCATTTCATATACCAATTTGAAACGAAAGACATACAGATAACACGATGGACGCAGGCGTGATTGAAACAAGCAGTGGCTTTGCTGTGGACACAATTCAAAGACTTGGTCGATTTGTTAAATTTCTATTTCATTTATTTTTTCAAAGAAAATTTATCGTTCATCGACTTGTCGGTCTTTCATATCTTATACAATATGCTTTATCATTTTATTGGTATTTCAAAAAGTAAGTAAAATTTTCAAAATTTAGAAGATCTTGAAAAAATTGAAAATATTAATTCAATAGTCATAGATCTTTATTTGAGTTTGAAAATACTATAGACGAGTGAATCTATTGTCGATTGGTCTTTTAAGAATAGAACTAATTTTGTCTCAACAGCTACTTTATATATTTCTTTTAATTTGCAGTTATGAAACATTCAAGCATTCATTTGTTATATGGAGTTTACCGTTAACTGGTCTTGTGCAATCAATCACAGCTGCATTAACATTTACATTTTTATCACGTACTAAAACTGACCCCGGCTATTATTCTGATCGTGGAACATTGTCATATGCATTTATAGTTGAAAATTCATTTTTCTCTGGTTTACTTCTTTTTCAATGGCTTTATTATTCAGATTTTTTCTATTCCTATATTAACAATTCAATTGTCATAGATAATCTTATAGTTTTTCTACCGTATATTCTACGTCAACTATGGCCTAAAACACATTTTCGTGATTCATTAAATAATTCCGATAAAAATAAGACAGCACCAAACAAAAACTTCTATTTCATTGTAACAATGATAACAAAAATGTTTTATGTTTGGGCAAAACATTACATTGGCTATTTTCTTAATTATGTACGATTTTTCGATCGTGCAAATCCACAACAAATTGAATACATTTACTTATTATTAGTATTCAGCGCATTTGCAACAACAATATCTGTTTTCCTACATACATTAAAGTTTAAAGGCTACATAGGTCCGCGTACATCTTACATTATCTATATGATATCGTATTTATCGACATTTTATTCTTTTATACAAATTCGAAGTATTTTCTTCATTCATTATGATCTTACATTATACGTTCTAATTGGTGTGATATTAAATTTTCAATCACTTTATTATCAACATGTCTATCAAATATGTCTACTTATTCTATTCAATGCCCATAAATTTCACATGATTCCATCGAATATCGATCATCGCCTGTTTTTATACTAACAGACGGAGCAAAAAAGAAACATTAATATCGTTTTTTTTCTTTCTCTAATAAACTTGATTACGCGTAGGTTACGCGTGTCGACGCTAAGCTATGCCTTTCATACTCTAGCATTCATTCGTCACTGTCGTTTGTTCCTCAAAATGAGAACAACATACAAATTTTTCATTTCGATGATTGCATTTCATACATCAATGAGCGTTTCGTCGAAACTCTTCAATCTTACATTGAACATACCAAGTATTAATAAAACAATGGTTTGCTATGAGCATTTTTTTATTATTATTCACCAATGAATCAACATCATTTTTAGAGTAATCAATCACTTTATATATCAATGAAACTACCTCTTGTTGACGACTTATACATTGGTTAGTCATTTAATTGATACCATGAAAAATGTGATGTATGTGTTCTTCTTAATGAAATTAGTTGATATTCATCCGATGTATAATCGCCAAAAAGTTCATTTTATTACAACTTATCTTTGTCAGCAACCATTTTCATCGCACGCCGATTTTTGGTTTGTTTGATAATAGGAAACGATGAATATGATCGATTTAAAACTATGAATTTAGGTTTGATTCTCAACCATGCGATAACATGGATATGTCAATGACTATCTATGAATGGTATTATAACATACCTGCTGTGCACTGGCCAAAAGGTTGTTTTTATTTTGTTTGCTTGTTTATTGATCGTTTTGAATTTCGACTATTTTCAGATGCTGGTTTTCACGTCGGAACCAGAACACCATTCCTTTATGTTGTTATTCATATTCAATTTTTTCCATCGATTATTAATGATGTCTACGGGCGAAAAAATTGTTCTGATTCATGAACGGTAATTCAATATTTTCTAAAACACAATTCATAACTCGTGATGTGTTTTGCTATTAAGACCTAAATATACAATAGGAACTTATCAAATAGTCACAAATTCGATCGAAATTCAAAGTAATTTTCAATTTTTTGTTAATAAATATTAATTATTATACTTAAAATTTAAGAAAATCGTGCTGAATTCTCTTGTCAGCATCGTCCATTACCTATGCAAATATTTTCTACTGAATTATTTTCAAAATATGAAGGTATACTACTAGTTGGATGCAGATTCATATCAATAATGATCAATTAATTTAGGCAAAAGTATTTCATTATATCGTGTACGGAATCGTGAAGTGCAGCCAATAATTAAGGGTAATTAATTAATGAAGCTTACAAATTGGTTCTAATTAAATTTCATTAGGAAATCTTCAATGGCCTAAAACTTTTTATCAAGTAACGAATCCAGTCGATATCATAGTCAATGATTATTTAATTGGTACTTGTCTGTACGAGCCAATGCCTTCAACACATAGTCCGTATGTATACGAATGGAAAATGATTATTTACCAATGGAACAGGCTATTTTATCGTTTTTAAAGTATCTTTGAAAATATTAGATAGATATACTCAGATGCGTAACATCAGATAGTTGAGTAACGATGAGGTCACCTATGTTTAGTGATGAGGTAAGGAATGCCCTAATAATGCAAAAAAAAGTGCGATGTTCTGACAGTTTATTGTTAATGACTATATCAAATAAATGAAAAAGCCCAACTATAATGTAAGACTTCTACTTATTTCAGAAGTAAATAAATTATTCTAACACCCAAAATTTGTTCGCATCTTAGTTTAGATTTTTTACCAAAATTTCCTGAAATGACTCCTAAAGAATAAACTCTTTGGCCGTAGTCAGTATTATTGTTAATATCATCTGTTACTATTAGATGTCTTTTCGATTGTGAAGAATAATAGTGTTTACACTGAGTTCAAAATTTATTTTTAAATAAACATCAAATAAAATAGATTTTGCATTTTTATTTAAATCAGTAATTAACGTAGGCATTTTCGAACGATTCACTATACTTAGAAATCCTCTCTCGGAAGTCGTTTGTCAAATAAATGCTATGTTTTGGACGGAACACGACGATGAGACACCAATGAAAATATGTTGGAATAATGATTATTCTCGAATACTTAATCGGTATGATAAAAAAAACAGCAAAGAATGGGATCTCAATTAATTCACATGCCTATTTCTATTTAGTTATCTTCCTGTTGATGAACAAATTGTACCCGAAACATTATTTGATATTAATCCAACATATCCAAAAGTAACACCAAATCAATATGCGATAGGAAGCGTCAATGAATCAATATTGAGTTGGACATCAATGAACAATAAAACGAACACGATATTTTTAACATATTCACAAGACGATCGTTTTGAAAAAGTGATTCGTCTTGCACGTAATCGAAATTCATTGTTCACGATTATATTCATCATATTACTAGCGTTATGTGGAATTATTATGCTCTTGATTGGTATTAGTATAATTCGATCGTATAGAAATAGCACATATTCATTGAGACGTAATACTCGATTAAAAGCAATTTCAGTTGGAGGCGAGACAAGTTCATTGAGTAAATGGCTTACAAAACGACGATTTCAAGAATATGATCAAGATACTTGTGAAAATGGTGAAAAAGAACCATTGGCATACAATCAAAACGAGTCTGCATCAAGTGATGAAACTGACGTGTCGGATAATGAAGTTTTCACTACAACTGATTTTCAAAATGTAATACTTAAATATTAAATAGTTTTCTGAAACAATAAAATTGCTACAGTATAAATTATGAATTCATCGTTTGTTTGCTTGCTTGTTTTTAGCAGATGTGCATCGAACGCTGATTATTATTATTGGAGAATGAGATTTTTCAAATAAAATTAGATATCTTTCTCTTGATCTTTTTTGTTTTCTTATAAATTCATTTGTAGGACTTCTTCTTATTCAGCGATAATCAAATGCGCTTTTGAGGATTTATTAATGAATACTTATTCATGTTTCATTCTTTTTAATAATGCGGAACAAACCTAATAGTTGCATTCTTGAATATCAAATACGAATATACATTTACTACAGAAATTGTTTCATCCAGATTTAAGTTCAATTTTCTTGCACTGAAATAATCTCATCTAACGTAAGAATTCAACTAATGATTTTTGTAGTGAAAAACCCTTTTCCGTTCTTAGAAATTGTAAATAGGATTCTGCCTGAATTATCTAAAATAAGAGCGTAGACGAAAATACGATCTTCTCTAACTCGAAACAACTGTTTACTTCATTCCATACCGTTGATAATATCGGAAAAACTAGCGTTTTCCATTTACCAGAAAACACTTGTTAGAAAAACAACTCTCTATATCAATCACTATTTGAATTCTTAATGGCGTTTACGCTTGCGGAAAAAAATTTGAAGGATGAATGAATTTATGGCCGTTGTATGTCTTCTGTCGATATGTTTCGTATCTTAAAATATTGACGATTTTGTTTTTTTAATGAAAGGAATGCAAGAGAAATTTGATCGGACAGAATCTCAACGAAAAAAAATTTCGACGTGATGCTCATTGATGTGTTGAACGGCGACCTCTACCCGTTTAAGTTGCCAAGTGATTCCATATGAATCAAATCAATTTATGGTGATCTACACCTTTGAATTGTTCTTTCCACAAATCGACACATTAGCTAGCATATCAACATGACTTATCGAGATATTAGCCGTATGTATAATTTCATTTCTTTCTTCAAACATATGTAAAACTGTTTCCGATGCAATTAAGATCTATGCGAAATGGCTCGTGTTCTCTCTTATCCACGATTAATATCCATGGAAAATTTTCGTCAACCAAACTTTCGTCTTGTCGCTGAACTTATGACTTGGCTTGTCAAACAGTATGCTATAAGTTCGCTTCTTCTCAATCATTTTCTATATCAATCTAGATATGATCCACAAGCTGATATTCCAAATGATATTGAAGGTGAACAAGATCGTGTTATATTCATTCGTACTGTTGCTCAAATAATTGTATGATCTAGAATTCAACGTTTGTCAGCACTTTCTTTCTTGTCATTTAAGGCTACGAAAGCACATATGAAATTAAATACGAAGAAACTTTATCAAGCTGATGGCTATGCAGTGAAAGAAATTCTTAAAGTTATTACACCACTTTATAAAGCTTTACGTGATAGTGAAAATAGAGAATTAGGCGAAGATGAAGATACTGATCCGCAATATCGTTATGCTATGAATGATGATGTAAGTATGGAATTTTATTCTTTGGATAAATTGTTTTCATTTTTTGTAAATTTTCAGATAACTACACTGAAAAGTGCTCGGTTACTTTGTTCAACTATTACACAAAAAGGCGCGAATTTACATGAACTACTATCAAAAGAAGTTGATGCACGAGTATGTGTGAAAACGAGACTAGTATTATAAACAGATTTATGATCAATTTACTTAGGAAGCACGTCAAGATGTGATGAATCGTGCTATGGAATTATCTGAAGTTCAAGAAGGTATAGGAGAAGCTGAAAATGCAGCTAAAGTATGTTAAATATAAACGAAAGATGACTCAAACATAATTATTATTTCTATATATCTTTTTAAAGCGTGAATTTATAAAATATGACAAATTGATAACGAATGTTCAAATCGATGAAGTTGCACTCGATGAAAAAATAGCTAAGCGTTTAGAAGAAATGAATCGTCATCAACGACGACTTGAAATGTTAAAGAGTGTTAGGTATAGAGAAAAAAGTTAGTATTCATTTTTCTACTATAGACTTCTTTCGTTTCTTTTAGACCATCATTCATGAATGATTTTGAAAAATGTGAAGCTGAACTTAATGATTTGTATGGAGATTATGTATTAAAATTTCGTATATTATCCTATTTGGAAAAAGAACTTGAAGGACATTTTCGAAGTCAACGTGAAAAAGTTCAAGTAAATTTCGAAAGAGTTGTTAAACTCACTATTGTTTTTGTTTCGAAATCGCTAGCAAGTATCACGACAATACATGCAATCAATTAATTCGCAATTAACAGAACAAGATCAACAGCGATTCAATAGAGAATTACAAGATCCTAATGATGAAATTGGTGTACATAGCGATGAAGAAGAAGATGATGAAGAATCTGAAGAAGACGAGTATGTGAAATTTTCTTATTTTAAGTCGTGTTAGAGACAGAGAATAGAAATCATGTTATAAATTTTTCAATATCTTTCGTATCTCGAAGAAAATACCCTTAGAGTTTAGTTTGTATCTATTCGGTTATATGAATTTATACAAAAATTTGAGAGGAATCTCTGAAAAATTTTCATTATTTCTTAACTAATGATGGTTCTTTACTCAAATAGTCAAGTCTTCGATTTTTTTATGGGCGATACTCTTATTTTATGATAAGGAATGTAGTATATTTCTTTTTATGATTTTTCTCTACAATAATCAAGGAAAAAATAAAACTACATGCACAATGAAACCAGAGACGTGCACAGGACAGGGCGGTCCTGGTGTTCTGTCCTGCCCTGTCCTGGAGGACAGGATGAGATTTCGATTTTTGTCCTGCCCTGACGCCCGCCAGGACCAAAATAGCCAGCAGGACAGGTAAGGACAGGACAAAAAATCTTGTCCTGTGCACGTCTCTGAATTTGAAAATGATATCAAATAGATTATTTCTAAAATTACTAATATTAATGTTTATTTTGATCAACAATTGCTAGCGTTCGGACTCATAATTAGTCTTCAGTCACTAGCGAAACCGGAAGAAATGAGTAACACTAACCGGGATACGGCTTTAACGTATTGTCCTGTCGCCCGCCAGGACCAAAGTAGCCAGCAGGACAGGTAAGGACAGGACAAAAAATCTTGTCCTGTGCACGTCTCTGAATGAAACCTACCGATCAAACTGTATTTGAACGACTTTTTGACAGTTGAATATGTTCAATGCATGCTAAGATTTTTATTATAAATTTATATTTTTAATATTATTTAGTGACGATGAATCCGACGATGATGATGATGGCGATATCGATCAATCGCCAGCGCCTCGAGGAAAGAAATTAGGTAGCTAGTGTATCATTTACTAAATCATTTACTATGATATTTCCTTAGAAAATGGTAAAGGTGGTCCACCTTTTGGTGGTGGCATGACTGATGATCTAAGTGATGATGACGATCAAATACAAATGGGTCAAAGACTTGGTGAAAATGGTATGAACGATGAAGATGATGATTTAGATATGGAAATGGATCCGAGACTAGGAACCGCTGGTGTTCATCAACGAGTAACTACCGGTGGACAACGTCGAAAAAAACAGTCAGCACAACGACCGGCATACGCAGAAGATGATGATTTTTAACACGATTTGTTTTGTTATTTTTATATAGTTGATTTTACTTTTGCTCACAATCTTTATCATTTTTACTTGTTTTTTTACATTTTTATTACAAAGAAATAAAATTACAATATCACTTCTTTCATTCTTAGTTACAACTTACATATTTATATACAATTATAGCTTCTTGTAACCCATAAAAACGTTATTCTCAACTGATTAATAACAAATGTAAGGATCCTTTCTTTTTCAATGGCATTTGAATGTTTTCACATATGATGTGTACAAGGTGGAGGAGTCACCATCACATCAACGGTGAAAATGTCGTTAGAGAAACATTCTTTTGTTATTCTTTTCTCGATTTGATTGATTTGACTGTTTCCTTTTTATTGAGTATATAATGGCGGGTCGGTTAATATCTGAAGATTCCGATGAGGAATTTCAAGAAATACAATTAAACAAACTTCAAAATAATTATCGACATGCGCGAGAAGATCAACGTGAATATACTATTGAAAAGAAAGATCAATTACGGATGCAAAGGTATTTATTTTTTTTTGGAGTGAATTAAGTATCAAGTTGTTATTTTATAGTAAAACTCTTCAACAGTTAGCAAAAGAACGTGAAGAATTGAACAAAGTATATCGTTTGGCTGAAAGCCTTGAAAATCAAAAGCGCGACGAAGAAAAAACTAAAAAACTACGCGAACTTATTCAAACAAAAGGTATTAGCTATTCAACATTCAAGTTTTGAGAGTGAAAGGCTAAATCAAATTTATTTAGATGAAATTCAAAATGAAATTCAAGATCAACAAGCACTAACAAGCGACCTCGATGTTCAACTACGTGAATGGGAGAAGAAAATTCGTCAACAACAAACAGACATTGGTGGCGCTAATGCTTCTATTACATTTATTGCTAATGTTCGAAAACAAGAACGTGTATTAGAAAATCGTTTAGATACGGTATGTGAAAATTGAAATGAATTTCACATCTGACTTAGCAGATCTTGTTTTTTTTGTTTTTTTTTGTTACATCAAAGGCTTTGAAACGATTTAGTGCTTTACTTGCCTCCAATAGTTTGCTACGCTCTGAAATTGATAATCTACGAAACGAACGCGAACGTTATGAAAATTTATCTCGAAAATCTGAAAATGAACTTCGGGATTTACGTGCTCAATTAGTAGAATCTATTGAACGTTCAGTTACTTCATACGAACAACGGTATGATTATATTATAATTTAACTTAATAATATAATTATTCTTTTCTTTAAAAGACGAAAAGGTTAACAGTACTATTAATACTGAATTAAACTAAAGTTTTAATTTTGCACAAAAAAGAAAACAGGAGCAAAATAGTCTAAGATATAATTGTCGATTTAGTCGATTTCTTTTTGTAGAAAGTCATGCTTTAAATAGATTTCAGCAAGGTTTGCAATGTGTAGAAAACATTTTCATCTAACGAATAAAATTTTGTGTATTTTGATCGATAGACTACACTAACTAATATACAATGGGCCTAGAATTTGATCATAGAGACTTAATGTCAATGATTTTTTCATAATAATAACTTTTACAAACATAAAAATAGCGACTCGAATCGAGATCATTGTTGATGAGAAATCACAATACAACAATAGGAATTTAATTTAATTTAACTCAATTAAATAATAGATAAAAGCTAATAGTCTAAAAACTGAGAAATTCTCCATCTATGAGCGACGTATGTTGATTGAATTGGCTCAATTTTACGAAGAAGTCTAAGAATGCGCTCGTTCCATAATTCCCTCGAGATATGAAGAAAGAATTATATATCGACTCGTTTACTTCGAAGCATTTTATGTCGTCAAAATATGCCGTAGTACACATTTGAAAGTGTCTCATATTTGAGACAATGGATTACTCTTTCCAATCAAAAGAAAGCATTAATGTCTGATTCTAGACGTTGAAAAGCTACTTTCCGATTTTTCTTTGTTAGAAAAACAATTTTCCAGATTGAAGTCAACATTAAAATGCTCTATGACAGTTACGATTACAGGAAAGAATCGAAATTGAATCTCTATGATCATTGTTTTCGGAATCACTAAACAAGAGAAATGATTATACAGAATTATCATTTCCCTTTTGTTAACTAATATTTAGTAGTTTTAATTTTAAAATTAATCAAATTCTTTGTAAAAATTTCAGTAAAGATGCAAATGCCAAAGCAATTATGCTTCAAAGTAAATCTTTTAGTCGTTATAGTAGAATTGTTTCGACACTTTTTAACATTTATATATAGATAAAGCTGAAGCAGATCGAACAATATCTGAAGCTGAAATGCGTGAACTTGAACGACAAATTTCTCATGATCGTAAATTACGTGATTTCATGAAGCTTAAATCGCAAGAACGACAAGAAGATGAAGAACTTCTTACGCATAGAAAGCGCAAAGGTCATATTATTGTTTTTTGTGAACTTCAATTAAAAATATCATTAAGCCAAAAAAATATTTTTAGAAGCCGAAGCATTGGAAAAACGTCGTAAAGAAAAAGAAGAGCATTCTGTAGAAGCCTATGAAAGTAAATTCAAAAAAATTCAAGACATTAGTCGTGAACAAGATTTAGATAAACTGGTTGATAAATTTATTGAAGGTTAGAATGAAACTATTTATCGAATGTAAAATAAATCTATATTTCTTGCTATAGTTGAAGATAAAAATTTTGCTCTGTTTAATTATGTGAATGAATTAAATAATCAAATTGAAATATTACAAGAACAAATAGCTGAAATTAAAAAAGAAATTCATCGTTTTGAAGTGCAAGGCGTTGACTTAGAAGATCAACGGAAAAAAACGCTTGATCAACTTGAAGAAAAAAGTGCAAATGCAACAAGATTAGCTGACGAACATGAAGAGAAATCTCGTACTGGAAAAAAAATTCTTGAACAATGCCGAGGAGGTCCTTGACTTTTTACTTTTAATCTTTCGTAAATTAAATTTTTTCCATTCTACTTAGGTATCGACTCCATATTTAGAAAAATTGGCTGTGACCGTAGACAAATTGAAAGTTTACTACAAAGTCATGAAGGTGTTACCGAAGAAAATATGCTACGATATTTAGGTATTATTGAAGAAAGAACAAATGAATTACTCATGGCACAAGCAGCAACTCATGCAAAAGTAAAATAAAAATTTTTACTTAAAAAAATAATTTTATTTAATTAAGGAACAAAATGTTCCATTACGTGAACGTGCACCGAATCTAATTGGTGATGGCCCATCAGGACCAGCTCCACATGTTCATGTTCATCTTCCGAATACGTTAGTACAATTTTGTATTATCTAATTCTACTCTTTTTTTTTAAATCTTCATATGATATTCAATAGAGACGATCGTCGTGATCATGAAGATCGAGAAGAAAAAACCGAAGAACTTAAACCGTTAACACGCGAAGAACTAAAACAACGTGCAATTGATCATGTTAAAAATTTAGAAAAAAAAGCCTTACAAGAACAAAAATATCCTGATATGTCACCAGCACTATCACGTGAGAAAAGTATCACTGGTGGAGCAAAGAGTACCAGTGGAGAAACGGGAAAACCACCGACTTCTCGAGGACGCTAGTTAATGCTATCTGTGGATTGTGAAAATAAAAAGACACATTTTTTTACTTTTTTTATTTTTTCCGTCTTAATGAAAATATTTCTGTTGATCAGAAAGTGCATTAACCAATCGATTGCCATTATTGAACAAAAGGAAAATAATATGATTTATATTGGTATAGGTTTCTAAGCGCAAAACAAAAAATGCCGATAAATATATTTCAACTCTATTTTTGCCCACATATTGTATATTAAGGGATTTTAGATCATGTTTTTGATATAAAAATAAATCAATCTTTGTTCGATAATACGAATATAATGACTAGATAAAAGCATTTATGCTTTGAATAAGAAAAAAAAATTAATCGTTCTTTTAAATATTATACATATATAAACTGCCATAGAATAGTTACGAAGGCCATAATCGATAAAAAAAAAGAAGGAAAAAACACAAATCATGGTGCAAGTATCAACTATTTTAAGCAGTATTCTGCTTCTTGTTAATTATACTTCATTATATGGTATGACATTGTCAGGAAATGTAACTGCATCTGCGACAAATATCCTTCAATGTAACAGTGCTGTTCAATGTCCTGTTCCGGCAATTTGTGCTATCTCATGTACACTTAATATGGGTCCTTTATGTGCAGAGGGAAAATGTGACAATGGAAAATGTCAAATTATTGCACCATGTTCAGAAGGCTTACAGTGCACATCTAAAAATTTAACTCAATGCGTCCATTCTATGATGTGCGCTCTATGCTTACCTGATTTGGGTCCATCATGTTCTCAAGTTACATGTGAAAACGGCCTATGTAAAACAATTTCTCCATGCTCGATTCGCCTAAATTCAACAGCAACTACAACTAAACCTCCAACAGGCGCCTGTACTAGTGATGCACAATGTCCTCGTTCTGACATTTGTGCTCGATGCCGTAACGGTACTGGTCCACCTTGTGCATCATCTAAATGCGTGAAGGGTAAATGTATCGCTATTCCACCATGTTCAGAAGGCTTACAGTGTACATCTAAAAATTTAACTCAATGCGTCCATTCTATGATGTGCGCTCGATGCTTATCTGGTTGGGGCCCATCATGTTCTCAAGTTACATGTGAAAAGGGCCTATGTAAAACAATTTCTCCATGCTCGATTCGCCTAAATTCAACAACAACTACAACTAAACCTCCAGGAGGCGCCTGCACTAGTGATGCACAATGTCCTCGTTCTGAAATTTGTGCTCGATGCCCTAATGGTACTGGTCCATCTTGTACATCATATAAATGCGTGAATGGTAAATGCATCGCTACTCCACTATGTTCACAACGTTACTGCAAAATATCAACGCAATGTCCATACAACAGCAATAATTGTGCCAATTGCCCAAAAGGTTATGCACCAGTCTGTGAACAGCCTGCTTGCACGCTTGGTGTTTGTTCAGTGATTTTACCTTGTTCCAAAAGAACTACAAGTGTTACAAATTCTACAACTTGATAGAGTATACCACATCAATTCCATCAGCAAAACTCTACCCAAGAACTTAATCTTACTTATTAATCAACTTGAACTGGAGCAGAACTAATGTACACGTTTCTAATGCTATACTAACACAAATGAATATTAATTTATTCATAAATAAATAAATGAAAAAGAATATAAATATACGTATACGTATGTCACAGTCACAGGCAGAATTGAATTTCAGACAAAAATGAACGCATTTTTACTTCGGCGTTAATAATACAGAGTAACATTTTTGTTTTCATAAAAATAGATTCTGAATTTCATTTAATATTGCATCATGCGTGCTGAAAATGGCGTGCTTTCATGTCAGTACTACTCCCACTCATACATCCTAAACTTCTATTAGTAACCACGTATGTAAAGATACAACAGTTTGATTAAGTAGGCAAGGTTCTGTGAATTTTTTGTCGAAGAGAGTGTGGAAGTGCTCTAATAAAATCATCATTAAAAATTTTGCTTGAATGTTATATAAATAAATAAGTTTTCACTGTAAGAGTTATCATTGAGTATGCATAGCTGCTATTAAATAATCAATAAATGTAAGATTTGGTTTATTTTATTTACTTCAAACGAAAGAATAATGAGTTTAACACGTTCTTCGATTTTGTACAGCGCACAAGCACAACTGTAATTACATTGGTCATACCTGTAAATTACATATAGTGTCAGAAGGATAATATTCAAATATAAAAATAGAACGCATGCATATTTGCTTAATATGAATCGAATAACGTGACAAAATAAAAGATTTTCTACAAAAATAAAATACTCCGATATAAATGCATACAGTGATAAAATATAAATCAGTTGTGTTTAATAGCTTCTTTGTTTTTACATAATTAAAATGTAATTCGCTGTTTCAAAAGTCGCAATAAGTCAGGTCGTACAATATCGTGGATTACAAATAGAAACAGGTGATAAGAAATAAATATAGAAATTACCAATGCAATAGATCACACTTGAATGTAATGAAATTAAACATTCATCAAAACCACTATCAAATCAAATTGATTCATTCACGATAATACCGATTTTTTTCGGTAATCTACCATTTAGCCATCCTGTAGCATCTGTACCATAGATGTCCATCGCGGGTGAAAATCTACCGCTACCGCGCCGCTGCCGCTGTATTAAAAATTATACAAAAATAGGTAATATATATTATATAGAGTTAACAATTCCTGTTTGATGACATACTAATGTAAAAAGAGATAAGAAATAGCAAAAATTCTTTCGAAAAACAGCAGATTCATTTTTTTTATAGGGTCTTGAGACTTTCAGCGAGAGTGAAAATCTGCCGCTACCTCGGTGAGATTTTGAAAAAGGTACCGCTAAAGTCGCCATGGACATCTATGATCTGTACCACAATGATTTCTACCAGGTGATGAAAGTGGTATTATAGTACCACCACTACCCATAAATCGTATCCAAGTGCCATCACTGGTTGTATTAAATGGTGGTCCATTATTACATCGATCAACGGATCAGAGACGTGCGCAGGACATATTTTTTTCTCCTGTCCTTACCTATCCTGTTGACTACCTGGGTCCTAGCGGACGGTAGGACAGAACAAAATCTAAATCTCATCCTGTCCTGCCCTGTGCACGTCTCTGCAACGGATTTAATTTGAGCGATATTTCGTGTTGGATCATCTATAATTCTATACAATAAGCAAGGAGATATATACGAATTTCCTTCACTGACTCTATTACTTCTCATAGTTGTCAATACGATTCAAATTAAAACGAAAAAAATAAGAAAATATTTTCATTTCGAATCCTTTTTACTGTTATACGTACGAGATAATACGAATCTATTTGAAGATTGATTAGTACTTCGTGATGATTTGATTCTATTAAATACAATACCTATAGCAATAGGTGCAACAATGACAATAAAAGCAATGACAATCAATTCAATAATTATGGCTTGTATGCTACATATTGATTGATCATTGTCATCAGGTAAACTAAATAGCTAGTAATTCATATTCGAATCAATCGGACATAAGAATTTATCTTACTTAGCAGTTGAAATATCTATTGATGATGTAGACGTAAAATCCCGATGTTTGAAAAAATATTTTTTTTGATTGATTCATGTCCGAATGTTTATTTTTTGAATATTCGAATACGTCTTGCATTGTAATTGATGCACGACAATCGAAATGAACTTTTTCTCTATTCGATTTTTTAACTTGATTATTGTTTTCTTCTGTTGAAAATACGATCTATCAGATAGAAACTTAACTCCATTCGATGGCTGTTTTTTTTCGTTCATTGTTGATCGAATTCATTGTGCTTTTGACGCGCAATACTCGTCTCTAATGCATTATATGAAGAGCACAAAACAAAAAATTCAATTATTCAGAGCTCTTGGATTTAGATGTCAGCGTTGTAGTCAACAACTTCGATGAGAGAATTTTATTGATTTTTGAAGGTTTTATTTTAAAAATAGAAGCACACAAATAAACTTTTTGCATCGAATCAAATGTCCGTGTAAGTTTACTTAAGAAAATTTAATATCTCGTATCGTATAGCCGATATTTGTAGTCGAATTAATCTTTATAAAACAAAAATATTAACATTCAAAAAGTAAAATTTGCCAATGATTTCAAATTTCAATGTTTTGCATCTTGTTTTTTTTTTTTTAATTTTTTGATTTTCTATAAAAAAAGAAAGAAGAAAATAAACGATGATTGACATCGAAATTTATATAAATTCAATTCATAACACAGAACGAAAGAAAGAAAGAAAGAAAGAAAAAATTGTTTCGTTATTGTAAAGGATTATGATCGTAGTCAAATACTCTTTGACATCATCGATATTATTTATAATGATTAATATTTGAATATGATGTTTTATTTATTCTGATTAAATAAATCATTTAATAGACGATAATCATCATCAAAGAGCAACAATTTCAATTCAGTCATTTTTTCTGTCTTGATTAATTATTGACTGTGCAACGATCATTTTGAAAAATGATTCTAAGCAAGAAAATCGGTCTACTAAATGTGTCAAAAAGAAATGCTAAGTTAATCTTGTTGGAAAACGGATGTTCATAAATCATTTTGATACTATTCCCATTGTCATTTGTCTTAAGTCTATTGTAGTTTGTTTCATTGTTTCTGATCATAAGTTATGTTATTATACACACACGCACACCGTATAGAGATAGATATATAAAAGTCTAGTCACTCCATCAATTATCATTCCTTCTTGTTTGCTGCCATCGTATATATTTATTCCCTCGACGAAGATTCTTCACCCTAACGCGTTCAACGAAACGAGGATAAATTGGTTTAAAGCTTGCTCTTTTCTCATCCCTCCATCTGTTCTTATATGCGTGTGTTCAACGTCTGCTCATTAACTATTCATATTGGAATTGAGATGGTGATGGTAGCATTTTTTGCTTGTTCAAGTCTCTATTCTATCTCAAGAGAGTTTGTCGCTTCTTTTTCTTGTCTCTCTCTCTCGACTTAATGTATTTATATTATACTTAAAAAGAGAAGAAGAAAACTAAAAATGCCAAAATGAAATTCCAAGGTACTCGACAGTTGCGTGCCGAGGCACACGAACATGAGAGATCAATTAATTTACGTTCCATCATTTTCTCTCTTGATGATGATGATCGACAGGATTGATGTCGACATGCAATTTTCTTTTGCATCTATGATAGTAAAGATGAATTATTTGGCCGCAAAGAAATCTTCATTTTCACAATATGTCTTCAATACGATATCTACGAAACAAAAACAAGATTTTATTCTTTTGTTTTCAACTGATAATCTTCGTTGTAACGCCTCTTTCAATTCTCTTTTCTTGTATTCTTTATGATGAACAGTTGTTGCACAGATTAGGTTACTTGATACAAACGCGTGTGTGTATATGTGTATTGAACATACGGTTTGGGATATCAACATAGAACGTTTGTCATCATGTCAATTGTGTTAAACATGACCTTTTTATCAGTAAAAGAAAAACAAGATTGGAAACAAAATCTTATCGGAAATATTCTGATTTGTTCGATTTTTAACAAACGTGTTCATGCAGAAATCTATTTCTTCTTCTTCTTCTTCTCCTTCTTGTTCTTTTTCCTCTATGATGTCCTCTGGGCTCTCTCACACATTGTATACACCAATAGAAACCCTATCTATAGGCACACACGCGCGAGCGAACGAACGATGGTGGCGTGTCTATCGTGCGGCTAATTGAAAAATTAATGAAGCAAATATTTTCAAGCAACTACCTCCTCCTATTCGCCTTGCTGAACCAACGAGATAGATGAGACATCAACATCAACAACAACACGCGTTCACAAGCAGCACCAACTTCAATCACCGCTCAACTGTATTCAGTAATAAAGTCCCGTATGGCAAAGTAAAAATGAATAACAATCACATCAACCAATAAGTATCTAAAATCGTTTGATGTCTATATGAGTGATAAAGTTAACCTGCTGTGTTTTTAATTATATATTCCGATATTTATTTAAATACACATGAACAAAATTCGATCCGATATTTCCGTTGAGTGAGACTTTCTTTTTTGTTGATTTTTCATATTCTATAAGGAAACAATACCGGAATAGGTAAACCACTAGAAAAATTATGAGAAATCATTTTTTTGGCTTGTTACTATTTGTAAGCCGATTATATTTAGTCGGCATGTACTTGACAAGTTACACACCCAAGAAAAGGACAACTGTTGCTAAGCTGAAGTTTTCTCTTCTTAGTTTTCTTCCTTTTTTTTTTGTTATTATTGTACTAAGCGTAAGTAACAGCCTCTAGGCAAGTTAATGACGTAAGAAGAGCTCTATGTGTATGTGTTGGCATCAAAAATCTAACAAGCGCATTTAAAGCTTTGATCCACCGTCTTCATTGAGTATTGAAAAATAAAATAATTCGACGTACAATGATTTTTCAAAAAAGAAAAAGAAAAAGAATACAAAAGAAATAGATACGATAT